CCTTGGCGTGATGAGTCCGTGATCAGTGGCGCTAACGCTGAATACTTGCAGCCCCACTTATATGCAGATTAACTTAAGTAAAAGCAGGACAGTGAAGGTTATTACGTCCTGTTCATTCCATGAAAATAAAATAAAAACTTAAATGCAGTTGTAGCCTGCCTGAAGATCAGCAAAATGCACCGTGACTTAAGCTGCCAAGAATACCCTATTTGGCACACAATCGATGTCAGGCCAACATAAACCGAACACAACTTGCAGTCCACGGTCTGCGTAGGCGCGGGAATTCCAGCACGACAGTGAACTCTTGCAATCGACTGCATACGTCTAAGCCGACGTGGAATGGCTCAACCGCATATAAAAGCAAAGAGAAAACCCGAACACCAACGGCCTTCTCTATCTTATATTGTTTCAAAGCGACACAGATGACGCTGCAGAACTAACCCCACTCCGCAATTTTCATTCGCCTAAACACAGTTATTTCAAAATTCCGGTGAATATTCCCTAGCTCCTAGTCACTGAAATAGTTCCGCTCCCTCTTCTACTCCTTGACATGTGATTTTACCGAAGAACTTTGATAAAACAGTAAATGTGATGAAAATGTACACAATTCATTTATTTAAAAAAGGCTAATCATAGTTATTATACACAAGGGGATTCAATTGCAATGATGTCATCTATGTATACAAAAACAGCCATATTCTACTCGTCCACAGTAGAGGATCCATAGCTCACTAACCTTCTCCAAAATCCTCGTAAACGCCTGGGCGGCGTTTACGTTTCCTTTGATCCAAAAAATGGTCAGTTTCTAAAATGGTAAACAACGGTGAAACTACCATCGAAATTCCGAACGCGAAACAAAATACATGGATACCAAATTGCATCTGCATGTCAAAAGAAGGCAATCACTGGCTAACCTGCAGACTGGGTGACGGCCTTCCAGTTTCGACACTGTCGCTTTTGGGCTGCGGTAAGTCGAGAGGATGAAGTGTTCTTATTTTATGATTTATCACAGTTTTCTCCGCATAAAGATGTCCCCCTTGGGAACGCGTTAGTCTGCGCCTGAAATTCTTTCCCTGGAGTAGTACCTTCTGCTGGTAAATGCACAGCTGTCAATTTCGGCTGCTCCAGCTCAGCCTCCACTTCTTCATCATCGTCTTCATGTTCTTTGTTGACTTCTTTCTCCTTTTGCTCCTCCTCTTGCTTTTCCTTCCCCTGTCCACGGTCACCCTGTTCTAACTTCCCTTCATTTTCTTTATTATCCGACTTCTGCTGCTCGCGTTCTCTTTCCTCCCCCTCTTCATCATCATCATCATCATCATCATCCTTCGTAGCCTTTTGTTTGTTGGACCCATTCTGTTCTTGCTCCTCCCCTTGCTTTTCTTTACTCCGTCCCTGTTCGTGCTGTTCCACCTCCTGTTCATCCTCTTTGGTATCCCCCTTCTGCTGCTCCCGT